ATTGGTTGTACTGCCGTGCTTGTTGTTCATCTTTTGTTGCAGGGTTGCGATTTCATTGCTTTAAATGCCTTATTAGGGTTCCGGGAACCGGTTTTTTAAGTTCCATGCTTCTTTTTATTTAATAATTTTCCAATTAAATGTTGGCAATCGAAAAATGATTCCTTTTTCTGGGGATTTTACTTTTTTCTCCTGTTTTTTGAGCACCCATTTGAAATCTATTTGTTGGTTTCTTTCAGATTCTCCTTGCTGTTCACAAATGAAACAAAGGGTGGCTGCTAGGAGTTGATGGTTGTTTAATAGTATCTGTTTATATATACTGCAGTTTCTTGGATTTATGGGCGAGTAGTGAGAGGATGATAAAAGCTCAAGATTTTGATTGTTGGGGTTGAATATGAGCCATGAGGGTGGAGAGGGTACCAGAGAGAATGAGCTGCGAGACAATGCATCAACTACAAGACCAGGATCTGATGACTTTGGCCGAGCTGTATCAAAGGTTGCAGTGGCACAGATATGTGAAAGCCTTGGATACGGGGGTTTCAAGGATTCCGCTTTGCAGGCTCTGGCAGACATTGCAATCCAGTATATACGTGAGTTAGGGAAAACTGCAAGGTTCTATGCTAATTTAGCAGGTAGAACAGAGTGCAATTTTTTTGATATTATTTGGGGTTTTGAAGATTTGGGAGAAGCTCATTGGCTGGGTGCATCGGAGAAAGGAAACAGTGTGATGGTGTCGAGAAAAGTGATGGAAATAATCCAATTTTTGAGTTCTACCAAGGAAATTCCCTTTGCTCAGCCAGTGCCACGATATCCTGTTATTAGGAGCAGGAGGATGACTCCGAGCTTTGTTCAAATGGGTGAAACACCTCCTGGTAAACATATTCCCACTTGGTTGCCTGCCTTCCCTGATCCTCACACGTACAAGCATACGCCAATGTGGAATGAAAGGGTATCAGATCCTCGTGCTGACAAGATTGAGCAAGCAAGGCAACGGAGGAAGGCAGAGAGAGCATTGTTGAGTTTGCAACAGAGACTTGTTTGTAATGATTCACGTAGAACATCAGATTGGGGGTTCATGAACAATGAGAAAGAAGAAATGCAGGAAGTTGGAAACAACCCATTTCATGCCACACCTTCAGAGCTTGAGAAGAAAAATGTTTCTCCTGTTGCACCAGTGTCGGGTAAGGTTGCTGGTGGAGCTATGAATGGGAACCATTTATCTCTGTTGGAGGCATTTGCTCCAGCCATCGAAGCAGTGAAATGCGGATTTAGTGAAGATGGAGATGTTGAGAGAAATGAACTTCCTGACGAAAGGCCTGCTATTCACTTTAAGCTCAGAACTGGCAAAAAAATTATGGGTGAATATTTGGATAAAAGTCTCCATAATAGGAAGGGTGATCAGAGAGCTGTGCCTTTTCTGCGAGATGAGGAGAGAGATGACAAAAAAAGGAGGGCTGAGTTTATCCTTAAACAATGCATGGAAAACCCTTCAGACCTCAATCAGTTGTAGATTAATTCATTGAGGTGGCTGCCTGATTGTAGTTTGGACTTGCACGTTTTTTTGAATCTGGATGTAGCAGTGGGGCCATTCATGTCCATTCTTAGGCATGCTGTTGTTGTGAGTGGAATACCATGAGAATTCTGTTGCGAGTTCCTTGTATTCCCAATTGGGAATTTTTCAAGTTATGTTAATCAGGAATTGTGTCATGTTAATTGTAGGATTAATCTTAACTGAGTACGGCTTTACTTCAAACTAATTTCTTAAAGGTGGTTTTGCTATTTGACCATCTGCTGTTGTATTTTTGACAGTAATAATACTTATACTGATTGGACTGGGCATTCTAGTGTTGGACATGGTAAAATGATTACACCGAGAACATGTTAAAAGATGTGCTTCCTTTACAGTTTCTGGAGTTAAACAGACAGGTTAAACGGACAGGTTATGTGATGGATATCGGGCTCCAGAAATTGAGAAGCTGCATTCAGAAATCAAGTGAGCTGGCATTTTTTATATCGGGTACGTCTTTGTTATTCATTGAGAAATAGTATTTCAATAAGGATATACATCTTTTAGTGAGAAGATTTGTTTGGAGAAATTAATAGCTGCTTGGCCTAGGTAGATGAGAAATTGAGAAGATTTTTTGTAATGGGAAATAACTAAACAGTGTCTTTTTTGTTCTTACCATTGTGGATAAAGATTCTGTTAATTAAAAAATATATATATTATTTAAGAAGAAGGAAAGAAAGTACAAGAGAGAAGAAATCATTGAAAAAATGAGACTGGCAGAAAAAGAAAAAAACAAGAAAAACAAAAGAATGGCAGTGATACAAAAGAAGATCCTTAAGTAGATACACCTACGCTAAGGTATAGTTGTTTATTATTTACAGGTCTAGTTTATATAGGAACTAGTATTTATAGGATTATTGGTTGTATACTTTTCTTGTTTCATGTTCAGTTACTCTCTATGTTTAATTATTAGTTTGTTTTCCTATTTAGTAGAGATGTTTTGATAGATTTAAGAATTCCTATATTGTACTTCGGTACTTATTAATGGTGTACCCCATCTTAATTATTTGATAGATTATTCATATAATTATTATATAAAAGTTGATTATTGATTTGGTTGTGGAAATCTAAAGTCACAAATTTGATTCTTAGTAAATTTTCTCTAGTATTGTGCTCAACCTTACTTTGTTTATATCTGGCAGTCTCTGAAACCAAAGCAAATATGTATATAACATGTGCCCCCAACTCCAGAAAGCAAAACACCCCTAGGCCCTAACTATCCTGTCAATCAAAATAATTTAAAGTGTTAATTAAGACTAATTGAATATGTTTATTGAATTATTACTTTTAAAAACAAGAGTATCAGGGACTAGCTCTCATATTCTTAGAAGTCTTAACAGTCTCAACAGACATCTATCAGTTTTTTTTTTTTAAAAGAACCATATAAAAGACATTGCAGACATTTTATAAGCTATAATTATTGCATGATATATTTCTTTATGAAAGTTTAGAATAGCAATTTCCCCCCCCTTCCATTGGAATGAAAATCTTTTTCGTAGACATGTTATTTATTTAAAAAATTCTACACGCATATATATAATTATCAATCTACATAGTGATATAGGATAAATTAGGATTTATTTACTTAAACTATTCTTGGTACTTGGATAGAGTAGCGGCAAGAGTAGAGCAAAATGGTTGGCTAAGGTAGTCTAGGTTAGTCATAAGTAAGATTCTTATGATAAAATACTTTGAAATAGGTGGGTAAAAAAATGAATAGTGTAGCACAAAAATTATACTTAGTTTATATTAACAATGATCTGGTAGATATTGTTGCAATAGAGGTCAAGATAGTGGTAATGTCAGCAGTGATGGGGATGGTGGCATTGATAGTAATGTCAGAAGTGCCAGTGACAAAAGTGACAGTAGTGATACGGTACATTGTAAAGCTGATCTCCTATCTGTTCTTCTGTGGATAAGGTAGAAGTCTTAACATCAAACTGATCGTGCAGGCTCAGTCACAGATAGGAGATCAACTTCTGGGTAATGTTCATAGGTATGTGGAAATCTAGTGACATGGTGGAGTAAAAAACAACTGATGGTAGCTAGAAGTAGCAATGAGGCAGAGTTCAGAGCACACTAGAAATCTGTCGAAGGGTTGTGGCTCTCACATGTACTTAAAGAATTACAAATTGAAAATTCTACTCCAATAAAAGTGGTGTGACAATTTACTAATAATCAATATTGCAAAGAATCCAGTCATTATGATTAAACAAAACATGTTAAGATAGATCGACGTTTCATAAAGGAGAAAGATAAAACAAGGTATTTATGTTGTACACCTCCCTTGAACCAACAATTGTTGATATGCTCACCCAAGGCATTGCTGAGAAAGGATTTTGAAGGGCTGAATTCCAAACTTGGCATGATTAACATCTATGCCTAGCTTGAAGGGGAGTTTAGAATTATTAGAAAAAGAATTAGGAGAAAACATAGGATCTAATTATGATTCTAGAATCTCATTCTGGGGAAAGGGGACAAAATATGATTCTGGTTAGATTAAT